TTTCCACTAAACGTTGGTATTATTGGAAACTAAAACTGCCACTACACCATAGAACAGTTGTTGCCAAACGATGGGGTTAGTGGAAACTTAACCGCCATAATTGATCTAAAATCACTTCTAAACGTTGATATAAGAGTCATTGCTAAAGTAAGTATAGTTGCAAAAGAAATAAGCCACTAATTCTTATTATAGTCGCCGCTAAAGAAAGAATTAATGAAACAAAAATGTGCCAAGAATTCACATAACAAACCTCGCTAAAAGTTCATATTCATGTCACCAAAACCGCCACTAAATCATATGACAATTACCGCTACAAGATTGTATTAATGACAACTAAAATAACGACTAAATCAGTAAACTATTGATGCTAAAAGATTGTATTTGTGGTATCTAAAATTGTCGCCGCTTAAAATAACTTTTAGCGACTAAAATTAAAGGTTTTAGCGGCGGTTTTTAGTCCCTGCAAAAAGATTTTTAGTGACAAAAAATTAAAGGCTTTAGTATAGTCATCGCTAAAATTTATAAATTTGGTGGCTAAAAGTCTCTTTTACGGCGACAAAAATTAAAGGTTTTAGCGCTATTAAAGTTGCCGCAAAAAGTCACTTTAGTGACAAAAATTAAGGAATTTTAGCGGCAGTTGTGGTCGCCACTAAATCATATAAATTATCCCCTAAAAGAAAGAATAAGTTGAAACTAAAACCGCCAGGCACCGCAAAAAGTACATTTTAGTTGCATTAGAAATTGCCACTAAATCATATAATATTCACAGGAAAAAATATGTATTTGAGGCAACTATAATCGTCGTTAAAATTGCCGCTAGTATTATTATAAGTGGGAAGCCACAAAAGTAAAAGTTGAAATACTATTTTACCTCTACTTTAATTCAAAGCGTTATATATCTAAGCAACAAAATATTAAACAATAATTATATAATATTATATTAAATACTAAAAATGAAAAAGTGTTTTAAAACACATTTTAAGAATATCTTTCCATTGATTTCCAACATAATTTTTGAGCTGTCTACCAAATTTTAGGCACA